CCCCAAAACCCCAAAACCCCAAAACCCCAAAACCCCAAAACCCCTATATAATTAACGAGGATTGGTTTGAAATAAAATATAATAACCATGGAAAAAGAAGGATCAACCAAACTCACATCTGAAACTTTTGTGGCCAATATCTCCGCATCATGTGCTAAGGTTATGGGCAAGGACATGAAAGTCAAGCTCCAGACTACCAATGCACAGGAATTATACAACCACTTTCAGGTGTTTAAGTCACAGATATTAATTATGGATTTCAGACCCAAAGAACAGTTTGAACAAAGTCACTTGGTCGGAAGTATCAACATTCCTTCTGATAAAGTCAAAGAAGCTGACTTTACAAACTTTGACGAAGACTCATTTTTGGAGAAATTCTGCACGTCCGAAACCGAGAAAGAGAGAATAAGGCGCAGGAAGAGACTATTGGTAGTATTAATCGCTTTTGATAGGAACTGCGACCAATTACTTTCTCTTAACTCAAGTGTATTCACTTCCAAATTCAAGAGAAGGCTCAGTTCAGATTCCTCAGAAGGTCTTCAACCTTTGAAAAACGCTATAATGATGCAATCAGTTCTGGTGAAAGAGAGGCACAGGGATTGCTATCTCTGCAAATCAGGTATGAATGTCTTCCAGGACAAATACCCTTTCTTATGCAATACTGATGAGACTCAAACTAAGACAATAGCTGATTGCGGGAGATACCCTAGTGAAATTTTTGAAGCCTTTCTTTATCTGAGTAACTGCCTGGTTGCCAAAGATGCTGATCTTCTGAAGACTTTGGGAATCACCCACATTCTAAATGTCACCGACAATGTTCCAAATTATTTCGAAGAGAGCAACCCTGACTTAGAGTACTTTAATATAGACATAAATGATGTCGAGGAAGCACCAATTGAAGAATTTTTTGAATTTGCTTATAACATTATCAACCAAGTTCTGCTCACCAATAATGAAAAGATCGAAGAAATCGATGAATTTCCAGATATCAGTGACCACTACTCAGACGAGTTCGATACTCATACTCTGAGATTGGACACTTCGAGCAAGATGATAGATCTGTGGGAGAATAGTCCATTAAAGAGTACTATCTCTTCTGTGGATCTATCCATCGAAACTGCTCGTCAACAAAACTCAGGAAGTAAGATTCTTGTCCATTGTGCTATGGGCAAGAGCAGATCTGCTACCATTGTCATAATGTACATTATGAAAAAGTTCAAGCTGCCATTTAAGACTGCCTTTAAACTGGTATCTCTCAGACGAGAGAAGATTGATATCAATCCTGGATTCATAGAAAAGCTTAAGGAATTTGAAAATAACGACTTCAAATTCGCGACTGAGTCTAGCGACCAGTCGAACGCAAGCACTGAAGCGGGAGATGCACTTTAAACCAATCTCTCGCTAAATTACGTACTTATTTATCAAATTTATTCGATGAACCAATTTCCGCCCATTCATATGGGGTTTTGGGGTTTTGGGGTTTTGGGGTTTTGGGG